AATCAAATATTTGATTTGATTTGATCAAATCAAATCAAATCAAGGAAATATTTGATTTGATCAAATTCAAATCAATCTAATATTTGATTTGATTTGATTTTGAGGAACCCTAGTTGTTGAGTATCAAGATTATGGAACACCTCATTGTCATTTGCTCATGTGGATCTATAGCGCACTTAATCCAATTGAATTACGACAAAAGTTTAAAGATGATGAGAGTTTTTCACAACAACTACTTACGTATGTAAGTGATATTGTTAAAGAAGATATCCGCTATCTACTCGGGAAAGACAAAATTTTGACGAACGAAATGCTTGAAATAGAATATAAGACTCCTAGAATGATGAAAGAGAAATGAATGCATCCCTCATTTTTTCCAATTCCAGATCCTGGATCATCTGATCTTGAAAAAAAATTTTGGTTAGACTTGCTCACAATCACCAAACTTACTTTATACCATCATTGTACTCAATCTTGTAAAAAGTACAATAGAGGTTTACAAAAGCATTGTAGGTTTGACTTTTTGAGAGAACTTGTTGATCCTCCTGGCGTGATTTTTCCCAATCAAGTTATTATTGCAATCCAACATGCTAACGCCTTCATTAACAATCATAATCTATATATAACATCTGCATGTAGAGGAAATAACGATATAAAATTTATCACATCCAGAAAACTCTCCTTAGTCTATATTTACTATTTGACCGATTTTATCACTAAATCAAATCTAAGCACTCATAGCTCTTTTTTAATCTGTGCTTCAACTCTAGAATCCTTTTTAAAGCAACCTTCTGATAAACCTTCGTTCGATCTCGTAAATAGATCCTATATGATTGTAACAAAGTGCCTTAACAAAATATTAGGTCAAACTGAACTTACAAGCCCACAAGTTTCAGCATATTTATTGGGCATTCCTGATCATTATACCCCAAATAATTTCATCACAATTCATCTTAAAACGTTTGAAATTTATCTTACAAAAGATGAACAAAGCATGTTTAGTACTTTACTGAAAATATTGATGAGTCTAGTAATAATTCGACTACTGATAGCGATCATGATCAAGACAGAACAGATGAATCATTTTTTATATCATCGTTCAACAGAAAATTAACCACCGTGAATCTTCATGTTGATTATCAGTTCAGAGGTTCATCTCTATGTAATATATATTTATACGATTATGCTGCTATTATTAAAAAAGTTCTGATTAATCTGTGCGAACTTCTAAGATTAACGGGTCAATGCTCAAGAGAAGGAAATGATTAGTATTTTTTTCATGGCCATGATTTTACAGATAACTATCATGGATCAGAAAATGAGCATCCTTAGAACAAATTGCATATCCAAAGACATAGAAATAAGGCATCTGAAAGGGTAGTCACATTGAGTGATAAAAATTTACTGAAAAAAGATAATATAGAGAATATTGAGCGCTATGCACTATGTATTCTTATCTATTTAAACCATGAGAAACTGTTATAGACTTGCGAGAGCATTATAGTACATGGAATGACTCTTATCAATCCTTTTTTAATGGTTCTTCTTTGTCACCACATCTGAAATCTATAATTTCTAATATAGAATTATTGCATCGATGTTCGGAAGAAACCACTCTTGACCAAGAATTACATCGAAATGCGATAAGTGATTCTTTTTTGCAAAAGCTTGCCACATTGATCGTTCTGTTCACAGGTATGATGTCAATGATGGACTAAATGTTTTGAATAATGATGACATAATGACAGATAACCCTTCTGACGAAGACTCTCTTAATTTTGATTCCGCAAAAGTTATTAGATCTGGTCTAAAAGATGTAAGAATGGTAGATGAGGCTATGAGCTTTTTACGGCTTAGAGGAAAATTTAATATAAGAAATTCTACATCATATATTACAAAGATTCATGATAATATTAACTTACAAGACGTACGTCAAAGTGATATTTGTGATGATGACCTTTTAAAAATTTGGTGTTCGACGATTACTTCTCGAAAAATGGTTTAGAAAATTTCTGATGATAGCAATGCAAAAAACAATGCTCTCTTAAATGCTTATATCAATTTTCAAAATAGTGGTTGTTATGACATTCCCTTAAATATATCTATAAATGAGTGTAAAGATCCCTTAGAATAATTTGCATCTGATTTAAATGATGAATAAAAAAAAGCTTATTTTTTTGTTTGCGATCATCATCGAAGGAACCATACAATGAGTAAAAATAAACTGTCTTAATTACTATCATACCTTACTGGTGTGGGTGGCGTAGGTAAATCTAAAGTCATCGATGCCATCTCATCTTACTTTGAACACTGTTCTCAGCAAAATAGTCTTCTTGTTCTAGCTCCAACAGGATGTGCTGCTGCAAAAATTAGAGGAAATACTCTTTATTCTGCATGTGGATTTGGTTTTAAAGAATTCTTCAAAGATAAGCATAATTTATCTAAAGAATCATTACAGCAACTTTAAGAATACTGGGCTCTAATAGAGTATCTCATCATAGATGAGATCTCTATGGTCGGTCAAAAGCTTCTCACTTGACTTTATGCTTTTATGAAAAAGTAAAGGCAACAGATAATAACACCCCTTTTGCTGGAATTAACATCTTGTTTGCTGGTGATTTTATGCAATTACCTCCAGTTTTAGATTCTGCCTTATATATGCTAGACAAATTCACTCACATATCTGCTCAGTTTAAACCACAATCTGTTTCCGAAAGCCAAACTTCTTCGAAACAAAAATCTTTATCAGTTAATAACCACTCTGTCATTAACATCACAGTGAGAAATCTTTGGCTAAATGTTAAACATGTTATAATTCTAAAAAAACAAATGCGTCAATTAAATGATTCTAATTATGCTTGCATTCTTAAAAATATTCATGAAGAAAATCTTACAAAAGATCAAAAATCTGCTTTGAGCTCAAGAGTTCTTGAAGATAACTGAATTAGCTCACGAGAGTGGAGAGATGCTACTTTCCTTGTAACGAGAAATGATCTCTGTGTTCAACTTAACTTTGAAGCAATAAAAGAATATGCGAATTATCACAATAACCATCTCATGTATTTTTGTGCACAAGATTCGTATAATCAATTCATTCTTACCAGAAACAACCATCTTAAATTTTTATCTACACAAGATACAAAAGAAAATGCACTGTGTGGCATTTTACCATTATTAATTAACATGAGAGTTATCATAACTGTCAATATTTGTACAAATGATAACTTAGTAAATGGTACACAGGGAATTCTTCGGGAAATTATTTACAATGAAGATTCTTTCTATTTTTCATCATGTGATAAAACAATATTGCTAAAAAACCCTCCAAAATATGTTATTTTCGAATTAATCGGTAAAGCACCCGGTTCTTATGAAAGCCTTCTGCCCAACCATGTACCTATCTACCTGATTAAACGTAGCTGCGTACGCACTGTTTGGAGACATGATGGATCAAGAATTCGAAGAAACTTTCAACATTTTCAACTTTTCCTTACACCTGTGTTTGCACTTACTGATTTTAAATGCCAAGGACAAACACTTCAAAAAGTGATAGTCGATCTTAAAAACAGTAATACAAGTAATAGCATGTATGTAATGCTTTCCTGAGTGCAAAGACTAAATAATCTATTGTTTTTATGCCCTTTTAATGACTCGATGTTGAATATACAATTATCTTCTCTACTTCGTAATAAATTTGATCATTTTGAAGAATGTGCAAAACAAACTGCACTATTAAAAGAATGGCCAAATATTTAAAATTCAATCTTTAATATTTTTATTAATATAGAATATAATAATCTTTTTTGGTTCAAAATATTTATAGTTAATGCCTAATAACTTCATTAGACATTACTGTTTTCGTTTTCATATTATATTGATATGTATATATTCTATATGATCATTGTAATCTTGTTTGTCACACATTGATGACATCATTTGCGTTTATCATTATTTAGTTTCAGATAATGTTTAAACCTTTATATATGCAGATCTCACATTATATATGTATAATTAATAACATTAAACTTTTAAAATTAATTGGTTATAAAAATTTAAAAAATTTTAAAGTATATTTTTTTAACTTTTTTTTAGGGTTAAGCTCAGCTTTATTCATAAAATTATAATAAACAAATATAAGTGAGTTTTATGAACCTAAATAGAGTATCTTGATTTTCTGATATTTAATAATCTATTATTCACTTAAGAATTCTTCTTTTCACGTAAACGATTTTTTTTTTAATTCGATGTTCATTAAAAATTATTATTAATATTTCATAAAACTTAATCTAATCCTTTATATAAAGTTGCATGATCTTAGGTAAATAAAATTAATGTTACATAATTTTCATTAAAATTAAATTATGATTGTACTTGGTCATTTACTTGCCTTAATTATAATCTGCTTACAAATTGGTTATGAGACCATATGATAATAATATATCATAATCATATAGATCGTTAGTATATCCTTAATTTTAATAATCGCAATATACCCATCTGAAATATTCACCCACGATATTTTATATACCGACCTACTCAAAAGTACACCATAAATAAGTATACCATTCTGTAATGCATATGAGCAATAATTATTCTTATATAATAAATAGACCTTAAAGGATATTGAACTATATAATATGGAATTTAAAGTCATGTTTAAAGAAGAGGTCAATTGCAATAGCATATCCAGGAAAGTTAAGTGTTTTATGAACATGTGGTTTGAGATGTTTTTGAATCATAATTGCTGTTCCAGCTTTACAATTATCAGTACATGACTAATAATAAGTAAAGTGTTGAGATTTAGGAAATTTAGCCTGTGCATTGTTCTGTGAAATTTTAGTTTCAGTAATGCTAGCAATGTTGATGTCATGAGTTATACAGTAATTCTTCCATGTTTGTTGTTTTAGGTTATCATTATATCCTCATGTATTATATGTACATATTGACAAATGAAGTGGTTTGTATGAGTTCGGTATAAGTGTTTGAGCTATTAGGTTGGGAGATGTAGGTTCAGAAATGGTCTCAGACCAGGAAACTGTATGATTAGATGCAGAGGTAGATGGTAAATTAGTAGGTGGTAATGCTGAAATGAGTTAGCAAGAAACAGTTGATCAAGTGGAGATGGGTAGATGTTAAATAGGGTATTATTTGGTGTTGTTAGTAAAGATAAGTGTTTGTATAGTTCATATTAAAAAGGTTGGATGAGATTATGTTCAGGCAGAATAGAATCTGAAGGGTCGGTATATATGTATAGCTCAGTTTTGTTATAATTAATAAATATATTAAAGCTATGTTTAAAAGAATGTTTTCGAAAGTAGGATAGGAATTCACCAAATGTTATATAGTGGTGTATGGTAGGTAGGTTATATAGTAATAGAAATTTGTTGTAACATGTGTTTGTTTCTGCAAAGGGTAAAGCGTTGAAGACAGGAACATGAGAGGTTGGATTGTCTTCTACAAAGTTGTTTACTGTTTGAAGCTCGGCTTGCACAGCTGTGGAGGGTACCATAGTCTGCCCTGTCCATTAGATCTGACTGTCATTAACTTGGCCCTTCATGTAAATAGGCTTTACTGCCTGCCCACTTATATCATCTTTCTTGTTAACTACTATAGATATATCTTTTGACAAGGTGGTGGCTGCATTAATGAGGTTTTTAGAAGACAGATTTATTGAAAAGAAGCCTCCTTAAGAAATAAAGACTCTTCAATTAAGGAAGATATAGAGTATAACATTTTGAATTTTTCTTGTAATATTTTGTTTGCCTCTGGATAGGCTGTTTCTCGATAATAAGTATTAATTTGTAGGTAGGTAAGGTTTTTGTTAGAGGAGTTGTAGAAGGTCAAAACTCTGGCCAGTAGCTCTGTGCTAATAGGTTTTGAGATAAGAAGTTCTATTGCTT